ATATATATATATATATATATATATATATATATTATGTGTGTGTGTGCGCGCGTGCGTGTGTGAGGGGGTGTGTGTGTTTGAATTACTGATAACAGGGAATTTAAACGTTTAGTTAATGCTAAAGTAAAAATTGGGAATTATTTGACGTTGTATAGTCAAACATATTAACTAGACATAAAAGGATTATCTTGATAGAAAAAGAAATGCAAAAACATATTTCTTTAATACTTTCAGCTGGAATATTCATGGCTGTTGCATTCGGCCCTTTCGTTGGATTCTTCACCAGCTTTCAATGTCTTTCTGTGTACGTGGATTTCTACAGAGTCGATGAAGAAAGCATTCCGACCGATCCACGTGACCCTCGTTGGATAGGGGCTTGGTGGCTTGGATTTGTCATTGCAAGTGTGGTGATAGTGATGGTATCTGTTCCATTGTTTCTTTTTCCTCGAAAACTGAGAAAATACAAGTGTACTTGTTGCAAAAGAAGTTCAAATAATGAGAGTGATGATCAATTCAGCATGGCAGATATGTACAAAGCAGACCTCCTGCAAGATAATAAAAAAGGGATAATATCAAACATTAAAGGTAATTATGTTTCCGTGTCTTTTATATTTAGGCATATAAATAATTTAAAAAAAACACTTCTATTTATATATTCTTTCGTGTTTCTTACACTGAAATTTATATATTTTTTAAATGGTTTGTTGCGTAGCAACATAAGCACAGTGTAAAACAACCATCTTTATTGGCTTTATTGTTTTTGTTTATCTCTGATTCTAGGCGTTTTGCATCCTATGGAACAGGCGAGATACCAAAGGCGTGACCATTACAAAAATAGATGAATAATAAAAATAACGGTTCCCAATAGGAATATACGATGTTGTGATCGTAGAAGCATAGCTCCTCAACGAAAAGTTCCCTTTTTCAGTTTTATAAATAAAGTGTTTCGGGGTGGGGGGATTCGAACTTTTGATTAAACAGTTTTATGTTTGCAATTATGTTTGTATTAAATACAGTTTCTAAATGCGAATTCGGCTCCTAAAAGAGTAATCAAACATTATGAGCATATGTAACAATAAAAAAAAATTAGTATCGTACTTGTGGCAACTTTTTATTTGCTTCTTTGATAATCGAATTCCGTTGTAAAATGTAAAATTTCAATTTTTATAATAATAATAATTTCAATTTGTATTATTATTATTATTTTTTTAATAATAATAATAATAATAATAACAACAACAAC